AGAAAACTGTTGAATCGGCCCCGAATCTTGTTCTATGCGACCGCATAGTACGTTTCTATGCTGTCGCATAGAGTAAAAAATTTGAGAAAAAGTTCTCGGGAGGCTTCTATGCGACCGCATATAATTTATACTATGCGACCGCATAGTTATACAATTCTTTTCGCTGGACAGTTTTTAGTATTTTGGTTATAACTTTCTCTCCTGATCTCCGATTGAAGTAATTCAAAGTGTATTGTGAAGGAAACTGAAAGATCTACACTTTTGATAGAGATAGACTTCCTCAAATTCCGATGTTTACTATGTCAAAAATGGATCTCAAGTAGAGATTAAAAATCACGAGCATAGCTTTTTCGCCTGAAAGTTGATACTTGATAATATTTCGATCATATTTCACCTCTTGACTCCCTTCCTCATCCGATTAACCTCTAAAACTCTTGAATCTTCATTCCATTTCCTGTCTCATCTATAAATTATTTACAACTTGGTCCCCCTTAGTTGGTAATCTATGTTCCACCAAGTCTCTATCTAAACCAGGTATTTGTTCATATTTCCAAACAAAATAATCTTTATACTCCTTTAACAAAGCGATTAATTTATCACTAACCTCTTGATCGAGCATCTGGCTGATGAATGTTGGACGATCTTCTCCTTCATTACCAATATTCACTTTAATCAGAGGGTCTTGTGCTTGAGCGTATCCAGGCTTGATGATCCGCATTACTTCATCGTCCAATTCCCTTGCAGGCACTTCTTCTTCTAAACAATCTACCTTGTTGATTTCTCGGCCAATACTTTGTTCCAATTCGAATACTGCTAATTTGTCTTTCAACCCTTTCAGGGCTGCCTCTTCTTTCGTCTTGTCCTTGCATTCTTTATTGAAAAGCCATTAATTTGGCTCTGAAGGCCTAAATATCGGCCATTTGCTTTTGTTGCTTAGAACTCATTCAAGACTCCTTGATTATTCTTTTGCCAATTACTAACTCTTCTAGGGCCACTATATTTGGCCTCATCTGACTGAACATTTCAGCGAGTGCGTCCACTGAAAATGGCTCTTCACTTTGCGCGACAATCTGAGTTTTTTTCACATCTTGGACTACCCTGACAGGTCCATAGTTTCCTTCGTACATAAACCTTTCCACTGAGTTTGCTTCTGCGACAAAAGGCCTATGATCGGCCTGCACCACCTCTGCTTCACCCTTGTTATTCTAAAAATCAGGCATTGATGGAGCGATGAGGGTATACAGCGACTTCCGCGTATCCAATTTCTTCCTCGTAACACATTGTAACTAGTAGGACCATCTATTACAAAGAAGACTGTGGTCCTAGTAGTTGTTCCTATAGTTATGTCCAATGGCATAACTCCCTTAGTTGCAGTTGCTCCTCCATTGAAACTTGTAAGGATGACTTCTGTTGGAATCATATCTCCTTCTGTCTTTGCAAATTTCCTCATCATCCTAGATGGAATGGTGCTTATAGCTGCTCCATTATCGACAAGCACTTTTACCACAGGTATGCCGTTAACTAGAGCTTTAACGTACAATGGCCTCAAGTGTTTAGTCAATTTCATGGCTGGCCGCTTAAAAATAACCTTTTCGACAGCCTCTATTTCTGCTTCCTGCTTGTCCTCTGTCGAGTTATCTTTTTGTGATAAGTCAAAGTGTAGCATATCGCACTGAGCATCTGTCTCCTGAATTTCCTTTTTACTGTTTTCTAATGCTTCATCTTCAGTTACCCAACCTGTGGGAGGAGGCATTATTTTTGGAGGTGATCCATACTTTTCAAAGCGAGTCACTCTCTTCTTCCTTTTAGGCATCCCGTACAGCACGTAAAAATCGAAAGAACATCCAGATGGTTCTCCCAATAAGTCTAATTCACAAACTCCCTCTCGATGTAGTTGCTTCAACAGAGTATTGTACGATACTCCTCTTCTTCTTCTTTCTGCTTCCAGATCGATTTCCTCTTCAATGTCTGTCATACCATCATCTTCCTCACCATTGTAGGCCTCTCTAAAAGTCTGGCCTTCTTCATATTCCAGCACGCATGCTTCTCCTTCGTTATTCTCTCTTTCTTCTTCTTCTTCTTTCTCTTTATTCTTGAACTCATTGGCTAGTAAATAGTTATTAGCCACGACAGGAGGTAACGTACCGAACTGAATAGTAAAGGGCTGATCTGGATCTTCTCTATCCCTTCTGTCTCGCTCAAACTTCGATCTCCTAGAAGAAGTTTCTGGCAACTCTTTCATTGATTCATCTGTACCAATCTCTTCACTATCTTTGAGAACATTTTGATTGGCTACCTCGAGTAGTTTAGGCACCTTAGGACGTGGCACTCCCTGTTGTTGCCTCATCATTAGTCCATAATTTTGTTAGAAACGCCTTTGTTGGGTTCTAGTTATCTCGTTGAAGGGTATCGCCTTTCCTACATTATACTGGAACGAATGTCATATATTTGGTTGGCGAGGTTGTGACCTGAATGTTCTCCCATTATTTACTGGCCTGAACTGCCTCTCAAAAGGCGGCCCCTTATAGAACGATGTACCTCGTCCTCTACTAAGCTGAGCATTTGGGAAGAAAGTAGGGCGATGGGGATGCTGCCATATCCCTGGTTTCTCCATATTCCCACTCACTTCTCTTTTACATCTTATACGTGTCTCTTTTAACTAATTCGGTCAAACACATTTCGGTCTGATCGTATGACTCGTTATTGATGGTATGAATATCAAAATTTGGGTCTCTATAATAAGTCCCCTTGCTAGAATTTTTTATCTACTCTTCTTCTCTTATTAATAGTTCATACCTAATCACGTTCGCACACAATTGGAAAAGGTTAGGAAATTCCTTGTCTTGAAATTTCTTTTTCAAATCAAAGCTCAAACAACCTTGAGCGATTTTGACAAACTCTTTTTCGGGCAAAGGTACAAAACATTTACTTGTTACTGTTTTGAACCTTTGGAGGAAACCTTCTGCCTATTCGTTTGACATTTGACGTAGATTCGCCAGATCGGCCAAAGTAACTTCAGATTCAGTCTTATAAAACTGAGCGTGGAATAATTGTTCTAATTGTTGCCATGTTTGAACAGAGTTCGCTGGCAAATTGATGAACCAGGAAAAAGCTACTCCTGTTAACAAACTAGGGAAAAGCCTCATTTTATGATAATCAGTTACATCACCACTTTGCAATATGAATCGCCTTATGTGTTCTAAAGTAGACACCTTCCCTAAACCGGTAAACAGTGAGAATTCTGGCACTTTATACCCTCTAGGCCATGGATATGATTGGTCTACCCAATCAAGATATGGCTTTGTGTAAGTTGGCTTAATGACAGGACGTTTCCTAAAAGCCATCTGATCATGTACGATTTCCATAATTTGATTCCTCAACATGAAGTTGGGGTCATATGGAATTCCTATAAGTGGGTTAACCGGTTGATTTGTTTGAGGCCTGATATTTGGTCCTTGATTGACAACAAAGTTACCATGATTTGAGCCATTGTTACCATGAGCCTGAACGTTTATTCCCTCATTAACACGTGGGGTATTCTGCCCATTATTTAGGATATTATCTCTTACATTTGGATTACTTCCCAAGTTAGGCGTACCACTGCCATTATTCTGATTTGGCATTACACCATCCCCTTGGTTTGAAGTGGAGGGACCGAAAGGTGGTTCTACCTCTTGATTTGGATTTAGGACTGGGGGATTATGTCCCACAATTGTCCTAGTTTGAAAGTGGTTTGCAAGAGGCATAACTGGTTGACAAATTTGGCCTACTAACTTATTCATTATTTCGTTCAAAGTATTCAGTTATTTGGCCATGTTGTCATAATGTACATTCCCATTCTGGGTAAATCTTTCCATATTATGAATATTTCGAAGATTTACCTGTTCAACGACATCTTGTGTGAGTTCTCCAAGTAGTGCATGCATAGTTCGAGGACTCAACTCTGTCACTGATTCGTAACGACTGTTACTACTCTGATTCTGTCCATCTGTTCGTGAAGAGCTATGTTGCTCCTCATATCACTCAATCACATACTGGACTCCTCCCTGACTTGCTACTTCCTTATCGAATCTCTGAGGTATATTGTTTTACCTTTTGTATCTTCAACACCAAACACCACTGTCCCACCGGGCGTGCCAAATTGTTTCGCGCCGGTTAGTAGCTAACAATTAAAAAGGGATCAGACGATTGTGTAAGAGACAAACCTCTTGAGACAAAGTCCCAAAAAGGGGTGTTTTTATTGGCTATGACTTTACAATTGAAAAATAAAACAGAATGCCACCAAGGGGCGCAAGCACACGAGTTACTGAAAAGAAGTGTTTAAATCTAAACTAAGCAATTGAAAGTTACATATTCTCTATTTGAGAGTGTTTGATTCGGGGTCCGTTGCTCTATGTCTTTTCTTCCTTTTATACTCCCTGGATGATCTCTTCGTGATCAACCGCTTAAAAACTATTTGATCGCTCTATAATTGCCCACTTTCTTCATAGTGGCCAACTTGTCATGGAACTGCCTTCTCTAACTACTGCCATTACTTTTGGTCGTTCAACCCTCTTCAATTGAATTTCTTGAATCGTGGAACGTGATAGGGCTACTCAATAACTGCTTCATTAACCGCACTTTTGGGTAACCATAACATCTTATATTTGCTAAGATCCTGGGCGACTCGAAGGTTTGGGCAAGAATCGGGTCACAGCTCTGGGCGACTGCATGGCAATCCATTCGCTCAAATCTTGGGCGACTTGCAAGTTTGGACGATGGTATTACCGCGTTCATGAGCTTTCCTATTTGGGCCTTTATCCTGAATATCTTGATTGGGCCGTTCTTTGGGCTATTCAATTTGGGGATCGTTCAATTGGGCTTCATTCCTTGGGCTATTCGATTTGGGCTGAACTTTTTGTGTGTCAACAGGTTGTGATGCAGGTAGTATTAGTGTGAGGTGGTTGTGGTGACAGGTTTATGGATTTTTTGGTGGGGATGGTGGTTGTGGTGTGGTATAGATGGAGATAGAGAAGATGGCGGTGTGCGATGGTAGTGTGGGGGCAAGGTGTTGTGCTGGTTTTGTAGGTGCCGAGATAATGTTGGCGAAGTGATGGTTCTGCATGTAGTGGTCCTCATGGTGGTGCAGTGTGTTATGCTGGTAGGAGTGGGGTGAGAAGAGGATTTGTGACTATTGCTTGAGTGTTGTAAC